GCTAACAACAGCTTTCCCCCAGGTTCATGCAGCTTGGTAACTTCACTGGGATTCCAGGCCTTGTGGTCCCCATTGGATACTCTACTGCTGGGCTTCCCATCAGCCTCCAGGTGAGCATTGGCTCTTTGTGAATGCTGGCTCACAAAATCCCCAGCTGGCTTTGTCCTGAACCACTACAGCCAGGTTCCTGCTGTTCCACACAGCACACTTGAGGAGTTCGCAGGTACTGGTAGTCAAGTTTTAACTTGCGGGTGAAGAGACTTGCCTCAGAGTAACTCACTCCTGAATGGCAGAGGGACTCTGCAGGTATCTGGGAGGTAGATTTCTCTCTCTCCCTGTCTACTTGCATCAGTACCCGCTATTTGTCACTACTCTTCCCTCTCTTTTCCTTATTTCTCAGTTCTGTAATTCTTTAAGTCCTTCCTTACTCCTTTCCCTCTTGAAATGGCTCTCTTTTAAATGAAAGGTAAATGTCCAAAGTCGCACAACTGCCTTTATCCCAAATGCAGTGATGCCATACTTACAGGGGTAGAAGGGAAAAGCATGTGTCCTTTTGGTGCTGTTGAGGAAAAAAGTTATGTTTTGCAGGGCTTTCAAGAGCATCTGTATGTGATGATGCTATTTTTTTTTCCCCTCCTTCTCCTTTCTCTCTCTGCCTTTCATCTTCTCCCAGGTCATGGCAAAATGGTGGGATGAAGCTGTTCTTCTGAGGATTGGCCTGAAGCTAGAGCAGTTTCGTTACCAGACTAAAAAACCATCCATTTATTACGACATCCTCGCATGACGGAGTGACCAAGATGGGGAATGTGTCTTTCTTTTCCTAGTCTGACCTGACTAAGTATTAGAGTGGACTTGTTTTCAGCTTTCATCAGAATAAGGCTTAGGAGCAGGCCCGTTTGAGGAATGGGGAGGAACACTGATCTCAGCAGGCACTGATGCTGAGCAGGCATCATTTCTGCTCCCTGTTTGTTATCGGATGGTCCAGTTTGTGCTGGGGAGACCAACTGTGCTAGCTAGTTCCTTGCTGTGTTTTTGCCAAAAGGGGAAGCTGCAACTATCTTCTGCACCTTCTTTCCACATAGGCGTCCTGTGTAAAGACGGAAGACAGTTGCAGGTACAGGACTGCGTGCGGGCAGTTCACACTACTGTGCACGGAAAAGTACAATCCCTAGACCTTAAGCCTTCTCGCAGAACTCCTCCAGCTCCAGGAGAGAACAAAGGTACTGGTTTGAGGGGGAGAGGCAGCTTCCCTCAAGAAATAATTCCTAGCTCCCTTGGAATGAGGAGGATCTTAACATACCTGCAATTAGGTAGTGTGTGTCGTGGCCCCTTACTTAGTCCCTCAGAGCAAAATAAAAAGCCTGTCGCTACAGAAGTGTCACTCTGCTTCTGTGCCTTACGTTGCAAACGGCGTAAGGTCAGTCTGACTGTTGCAGAAAGCACGGCTGCACTCACTGCGCGAGCAGCCCTACCTGCCTTCAGCCTTACAAGCACGGGGAGGAAAAAGCAGAGCACGAACCCTCATCCCCTCCGTGACCCAAAGCCCCGGTTCAGGGTTCTGGCTTTCTGTTGCACATCTCTATTTCCCAAACTAAGCCTTGGAGAACCTCTTTTCTCCCACTGGTTGCTTAAGTATAAGCTTACATCATTTAGGTGTCCAAATGGAAGAAACTAGTTGGTCATGCTGTGAAATACTGCTTAAGGGGTGCTGAGCCAGCTGTTACAAACCGGTTGAAATTTGTGTGGTACTGAAAGTAGGAAACGCTGCTGAGCTACCGGCAAGAGTCAAAGCCGGGTGCAAGAAAGGGGTTGCACAAAGCCACGTGCAGCAAAGAGCTTGCTCTAGGTAAGAAGCCAACTCCCTCTCATCCCAGCTGTACCCTCCTGAAGTAATCAAGGTAGAATTAAGAGCTGGATTAAACATGAGGCTATACTACGTAAAGGATGACATGGCTCTAAGCCACAGTCCTGTGGTTCCCTGAGAGGCCCCAGACTGTAAACTCCCAAGTACCCGTGTCCTGCCAGCAGCGCTAGGGCCACGTGAAAGATAAGAAGAGGCCTAGGAGTAACCAAGGCTAAGCATTTGTGTGCGTTTTGGAGTTTGGGGTTAATGCTCGGAGGCATCTCCCGTTGCCTGCCTCATCAGGTATCCTGGGCTTGTGAGCAGGCTGCTGGAGAAGCTGTCCTACAGACGGGAGCGGAGAGGATGGCTGTATTCTTCGCTTGGAAGGAAAGAAGGAACAGAAAGTAGTTGCAGTTTCTCCCAACCTCAGTACAGTTTGGGTTTTTTCCCCCCATACATATCCACTCTTTGAACAGAGCTAGCACTTTACTAACGGCTGAAGGTAAAAGTCAGATGGCGTCTGAATGGAAGAACATTGCATTGCCGTCTCCTCCTGAATTACCTGAGTTAAAGCATCAGCTGCTACCATCAGCTGTCACCAGCATCCACAGCTAAATTAATTATATGGTCAATATTGCCTTTCATCTTCACTTCCTCTATGTGATACTGCCACAACTATTTTTTTTTTCACTAGATTCTAGTATAGTTAAGCTTTATGAAGAAGAGTTTAAAAGCAAAGTATTTCCTCTATTATTAATGATAAGTTATTAAACACTAGCAACATACCTTAGAGTGAAACACTGCTGAGATGCATTGTATAGCAATAAGGGAGTTGATAAGTGTTTGACAAGAATAAATTTCTGCCGGGAACATAACTGCTTGAAGGAAATGGCTGAATATTCCCTAATTTAATGCTATTACTCAAGGGATTAGAGATGGATGTTTAAAATAATCAATTACCATCCTACTAGATGAAGCTATTTATTTCAAATACCTTCCTAGATGATACACTACCCTGAAATTATAATTTCAATATTTAGTTCATTCTCTAGGTAGAGGGAGGGAACACAAGTTACTAGGAAGACAGATAGGAGCTAAAGCGAATCATAGAATTGTTTAGGTTGGAAAAGACCTTTAAGATCATCGAGTCCTACCGTAAAGTTTGCTATTTTTTAAAAACAATACTTGGATCTTGCTAACAGCGGGAATAAGAACTGAGAGCTTTTACTGACTGGCAGTAACTTTGTCTTTCCACACACTGCTTCCTCCCTTTCCCTAAACTGGGAGCACATCAGTGCAGGTTTGCAGCGCGAGACTTCCCTGGTCCTGAGGCTACTGAGCTGAACGCCAGCCGTCCTGGTGGAAGGCCCCTGTGTTTCCTTCTTCCCCTGGCTGTTGGCTTAGTCGGGTTCCACAGCAGCCCAGTTCTGTCCCCGCAGTACGCAATAGCGAGGCCGTTGTGTGAGCAAAGCGGACACAGTGACCACACACACAATCCTGTTGCTTCACATAGATATATGTATGGGTATAGATATACGGTATATACACATTGATTTTTTTTTTTTATATATATAAAATAACACCTTGTTTATAAAGCGACATTTAATTGCCACTGGTTCCCTTCCCGCCCCACGAAAACAATAGTATACAAAATATAAAATATTTTAAATATTTATAAACGCCGCAAGAAAAAAATAGAACTGTACGAAAATATTTTTTTTTTTCTGAGGTTCCCTTGAGTCCATAGTTGTTAAGTGGGTAGGAATATGCCCTGCCTAATACTATCCGGTCCCGGAGGAGCTTAAATAAGACATAATAATTGCAGAAAAGGATGAGGGCCATGGAGAGGGTATGGTTCCACTTCTCTGAGCGCAGCAGTGAGTAGAGCTGGTAGCAGACCACGCTGCCTTCGATGAGAATCAGCAGGTTGAGCAGCCGTAATGGACGGTGAAAAAGGAACTGCAGGGAAACAGTTAAAAAGGGCAGATTGTATAATTTGTTGCGCATACCCCTCCCAGCTTTAACATTGCGTAATGCTGTCGGGCATCACTGAGCTAGCAACCACTGTGCTGGGCAGAAGAAAAGGTTTGTGCTCCAACCACCGCGAGCTGCTACGTA